ACCCTCCCAGTGATTGGGGCTTTATAGAGATTTATTCCTCTATGTGAAATCTAAGCCTACTTTATATTTTAAAAAACGGCTCACCTAAACGGCTCACTTAGTATTTGTTGGATTTATTTTAGGGTTAAGAGGTTCCTCTCCCTGCCTCCCCTCCCACCCGGTTCTTCGCCTCCTTTTCCTGTTTTCCTCTTTCTCTTCGCTCGGTCTACTGATCTGGAAATGCTCCTTTAAGGACTTCGTCAATCTTGAATAATACGCGTGAGAGAACCTTGCTGACACTCCTTTCGCTGCGATAGCTGCCATTTATGTGAAATATTTTTTGTTACTTTAAATCATAGCTATTGTAACGTAAACAGCTTAGAAAACAATGCAAAATAAATGTATACTCTAATGAGTTAGTAAGACGTTCTTACAGCAACACCCACAGTGAGCTATTCCATGTGCCCGAGGAAGGACAGCCTCCGTTTTGTCATTTCTGCCTCCAGCGATGTCTCAGGCTCAAGGTGCTCTAGGACCCACGTGTTCATCTTGCTGGGGGCCGGGGCGTCGGCAGAGCCCTCCACCAACACCAGGTTCCAGATGAATCCGCGCTTTTCCTTTCCGCCTCCTTCGCCGTCCGACTTCCACATCCAGACGGAGGAACTGGACTGTGGGCGTGGATGCCTCAGCCTTGGGCTCTGATGACACGTCTCTGCTCTCGCGGCTCTGTCCCAAGTCCTCCCGAGCTGCCCTTCTGAGCCTCCGCCTTCTCTTGACTTCCTGGCTTCAGCCATCGATGCCAATGGAGACGGAAGCCTTTATTTCCCACGCTGGTCTAGTTCATCTGGGAGAATGCCGTCCACTAAATTGGTTGCACAACCCCTGAGGGATTGCACTTAAAACTTTTTTTTTAAAGAAAATTTTAAAAATATATATTTTTTATTGATTTCAGAGAGGAAGGGAGAGGGAGAGATAGAAACATCAATGATGAGTGAAACTCATTGATCGGCTGCCTCCTGCATGCCCCCTACTGGAGATTGAACCGAAACCTGGGCAAGTGCCCTTGATCAAATTCGAACCCAGGACCCTCCAGTCCACAGGACACCGCTCTATCCACTGAGTCAAACCAGCTAGGGCTGCATTTAAAATTTTTTTAAAAATTGTTTTGGCCCAGCCGGAGTGGCTCAGTGGTTGAGCACCAACCTATGACCCAGGAGGTCAGGGTTCGATTCCCAGTCAGGGTATATGCCCCGGTTGTGGGCTCTATCCCCAGTAGGGGGTGTGCAGGAGGCAGCCGATCCATGATTCTCTCTCATCATTGATGTTTCTCTCTCTCTCTCTCCCTCTCCCTTCCTCTCTGAAATCAATAAAGAAATATATTTTTAAAATATTGCTTTGGTGCAGCATGGAGGAAGGGTGGTGGGAGAGAGACAGCAGACAGGTCAGGATGATTAGGGTATGAAGCAAGGCAGTGGTTTCCAACTGCCCGTGAAAGTGGTTTGGGGGCATCTGGCGTGAGTGATTATCCATTCTATTTCCTAAAAATAGGAAAACAAAAATATGAGCTGAGAAAGAAAAATAATGAATTCTGCGTGGAAGTGATGTTAAAGTACATGCAAGACGTCTCATAGGTACGTGGGTGGGCGAGTTGGAGCTTAGGGAGGAGACGTGGGCAAGATCTGGGTCCTAATTGAAGCCAAAGGATGGGAATGAAAGGTTGCCCGAGTGAGTGGAATAAGGCCCAGGAGAAGACAGCCAGGGAGGACCCTGAAGCCCAGGGCAGGAGCCTGAAGGCCGTGAGTACTCGTTTGCTAGGGCTGCTGACCGGGTGGCTTACGCAGGAGTTTACGTCCTGAAGGTTGTAGAGCAGTGGTTCTCAACCTGTGGGTCGCGACCCCTTTGGGGGTCGAACGACCCTTTCACAGGGGTCGCCTAAGACCATCGGAAAACACATCTATAATTACATATTGTTTTTGTGATTAATCACTATGCTTTAATTATGTTCAATTTGCAACAATGAAAATACATCCTGCATGTCAGATATTTACATTACGATTCATAACAGTAGCAAAATTACAGTTATGAAGTAGCAACGAAAATAATTTTATGGTTAGGGGTCACCACAACATGAGGAGCTGTATTAAAGGGTCGCGGCATTAGGAAGGTTGAGAACCACTGCTCTAAAGTTTAGAATCTAAACTACTTGAGCAAGCCGAGGCCAACCTCAGATCTTAAATCACATAATAGTGCTGAAAATGACAGAAATAGCAGCGGCTAGCACGTCTAGTACTTGGTGGGACCAGGCACCGTTCGAAGCTCTTTGCACGTGTTAATTTATTCCATCCTCACGGTGACCTTTTGAGGTAGCTACCACTTGGTCCTCATGTTACAGGTGAGGAGACATCCTGCCTGAGGTCAGCCAGCGAAGGAGCCCGTAGAGAAGAAAGACTGTGTTTTTTTTCTGAGTTTGAGTTTGGAACAGTTTTCGCACGGGAGCTGAGTCTTATGCATTTGTCTCTGTCCTTAGTTTCAAGCATAGAGAGCAAGTGTCCCGTCCACATTGAAATTAGTGCACAGGGCCAGGCCATCAAGTTAACACACAGGATTGTGTGTCATTTTGGTTTAAAAAAAAAAAAGCCTTCGTGAATCAAAA